GGCAAGCCCCGCCCCGCTCCATCCACGCTGGGGGCGGGCCCAGGTGCGGATTCCAGCCCGGTACTCCTCGCGGGCGCCTCTCCTGCCAGGAAGTGCCCCAGCCCTCCCTGCTCCGCCCAGTTAGATCACCTGAGCCGGAGCCCTTTTGGGTCCCTATTACTAGTCCACAGAGGTAGGTCCTAGGGATGGGGGAGGGGACGCAAGTCTTAGGATCAGGCACAGTGGATATGAAATCGGGAATCCTCACCCCAAACTTTTTAGTTTTGCTAGCTGGCCTTCATGTCTCCAACTCTGCAGGAATCTTTGGGAGACAGCAAACTTCAGGGAAAATAGGGTGGGGCATAGAAATATCCCAGTAAGCCAGGCATGGTGGCACAGGCCTTTAACCCCAGCACTCTTGGAGGCTGAGGCAGGAGGATCTCAGGCAGGAGGATCTCAATCAGGAGCCCAGCTGGGTAATTTAGAGATCCTGTCTGGAAATTTTAAAAAACGGGAAAAAGGAGGGGGGCTGGGGATGTAGCTGTGTAAAGGTCCTGAGCTCAATCTCCAGTACTGAAGAAGGGTACCCCAGGAAGCACACAGAGTCTCAGGTCCACCCTGGAGGCTCGCAGGGGAGGGCTGAGCTGGTTCCCGGCTGCTGAAGTGACTTGCTTGCAGTCACACTGTTAGAATGTACTGGAGTCAGGGCAAAGACCTGAGCTTGGGCTGCAGGGATGGGGGTTGTGGGGACCTTCCCAGTGGGTTGTGAGGAGGGTCTGCAGGCCCAGCCTTATCCTCTTGACAGGAGCGTGGGCCAGGTTTCTGAAAGGCCACACTGGGTGGCAGGAGGAATGTGGGTTTCCAGTAGGTGGCCAGGGCTCAGAGGAGAGCACCTGATCCTGATGTTGTCTCCTTCCATCATCCCAACAAACAGCCCTGGACTTGAGGGTTGTCTCCTCACTTCACAGTTCAAGAAACAGAGGTTCAGAGAAGCTAAAGGGGTCAGGACTCAAAGCCAGCTCCGAGGTTACTATCATGGTGTCTCCCTCAATGCCCCCACCCGGCAGCGCCCAGCTCTAGCCCATTGAGTTAAGCAAGCGTGCTGCTAAGAGTCTTTATTTTCATCTTAGTGCCACTCCTGTCACCTTTGGGCTCCAGGCCCCAAGCTCAGCAGCAGTTTATAAATAAATAAATTACAAAAGCGGGCAGAGGGAGTGGCCCTGACCCTTCCAGGGCCAGGTGGCTCAGTGCTCCGTGAGTGACAGCTGCAGGATCCGCTGTAGGTCCTCCTCTTCCTGCTGCCCCCTCCGCTCCTGCTCTTCCTGCTCCCGAGAGGACAACTCAAGTGCCAGGCGAAGCTGCTCCTCAAAGCTTGGGGGGGCCTGAGAGGGGGGTGTCCTCTCAGGGGACCCAGGGCCCCTGGACTCTGTGGACAGCCGCAGGCTTTCCTGGAGGGCCCTGTGGGCAGGGGTGAGAGGGGAAAAGCAGACCAAAGTGTGAAGGCTGGAGGAAGAGAAGAGGGGTTGGGTGCATAGCTTTGGGGGACAAGGGAAGGACAAGCAGGACCCATCTCCCTGTCCCCCGTGCCACCTTTGGTGGCAGGCAGTACCACAGCTGGATGGTGGCTTTGGAGAGGATGTGGGGTCCTAGGACCAGTACCGCTGGGCTCCCCACCAGCTAGGGGAGCGCTGGGGGTACAGACCCAGTGGGCTGAGGCAGGGATCTGGTGGGTCTTGCAGGGCCTCACCGCTCCAGTTGAAGCTGCTCCTCATACACAGTGGCTTGGGGAGGAGGGTGGGCGCCAGGCCGAGAATTGGTCAGGGCTTCCCAGACAGTCACCTGCAGTAGCCAGAGCCTGAAGCTGTCACCTTGGCCCTGTGGCTGAGAGGCCAGGACCCACCCCTGCCCCAGCCCCACCTGCTCTGCCTCTGTGCCTGCCTCAAGCAGGCTCTGCTGGATGGCAAACTGCAGCAGGTCATCATCCTCGTCTCGAAGGGGCTCACTGCGCTCAGCACCCAGCACGCTGTACCCCTCAGGGATCTCAAACACAGTGGGATCCACCTCGCATGGAAAGGGGCTCCCTGGGGAGGCAGCAGAGGGACCGCACTCAGCCCCACGTCTCAGCTCCCAGATAGCTGTGCAGCCTCCCTCTGTCCCTCAGGGCATACCTGGAGTGGCCGGGGCAGAGCTGGGGGCTGGCACCCACACGGAGCTCAGGGGCTCATCACAGCCACACAGGTTGCTGAAGGTGATGCGAGCATTGAGTACGTGGAAAAGGGGAATCTCTGTGGAGACAGCAAACCTGAGCCACACGTCCCCTGTAGGCCCCCTGCCCTGGGGTACCGCATCCCACTGCCCCAGGGGGCCCTCTCACCAATCTTGACGGGGAAGCCGGGAGGGAGGCGCAGGGTGATGAAGTCACGCAACTTGGCAAAGTGAGCATTGCTGATGGCCATCAGGTCAATGATGGGTGTCACCTGGTCACCCAGGGAGAGCGGGTGCTCCTCACTCAGCCACAGTGTTGCCTTGAACCTGCCCAGCCAACCAAAGGATGTGGGTCAGGGACCTGCTGGTGGCCTTCCCCTTGAGGCCAACCACCTCTGATCACTTGCCTGGGGCACCCTCCTCCCGGCTCAGTCGCCCTTGCCTGCCTCCCCAAGTAACTTGTACCCTAGCCCTATGGCTGGAGCTGCCTCAGACCCTGGGCCCACACTGGTGCTCTTGATGGTTTTGTGTTTGTCTGGTCTGAGTGAGGACAGTGGGGGCCAGGCAGTAGGCCATTTTCTGCACCTAATTCATGGCCTCATCCTCCTCTGCACAGAGCTGTACAGCACAGCTCTGGGGCCAGAACTACAGAGGCCTGGATCCCAGCCTGGCTGAGAGGATCCATATGAGGCATCACGGAGAGTGCTGGGCTTGCTGTTAAGACTGCTGATCACAGGTCCTTGAGAGGTGGGTAGGCAAGTGTGACTTCATTTCATTGAGGAGGAAGTCAGATTCCAGGTAGGGAAAGTACTTCCTCTGGCTACAGAGACCAGGGCAGCAGAGCTCTACACCCTTCCCATTCTGGCATGCCCAGCCCCAGCACCTGCTCAGCAGAAAACTATACAAGGTGGTGCCACCCATTCATTCATTCACTGGTTCATGAAAGACCTGTGACTGTCTGGGTCATGGTGTATGCTGGGTGCTCAGGACCATGATAAGACACATGGCTCCTGCCCTCGGGAGCATAGTGCAGAGAGAAGCCTGCTGGATGTGACAGGAGTCTACAAAGGATCAGGGGAGATAGGTGGGGTCCCTGTCCCTAGAGAAGTCCCCAGCCAGCCTGCAGACCTCACCTCTGTACTTTGCTGGACATCTCGATGGGGCGGCCAATGTTTCTTGACTCCAGGCTGAAGCTAGGGTCGAAGTATTCATCGGGGGAAATGGCTGTGGGGTTGGTGGGGCTGGCTGCCTGCTGTACAGGAGCCTGGGTGGGCCCCAAGACCACACTTAGCCTCAGGGTGGACAGGTGGCACCCTGCCCACCCACTGGCCCGGCCCTCCCCAGCCCCGGCTCGGCTCACCCCACTGTGGGAGGAGTGCTGCTGGGCCATCCCCAGGAAGGACTGGAATGGAGTCTTCCCCCCTGAGGAGAAGGGAGGGAGCCGTGAGGGGACTGTGGGCCACTGCCCAGCCTGCCCCACCCTGCCCCCCAGCTGAGAGCCTCCTGCTGAGTGGGACAGGGGCAAAGATAGGGAGGCCTCCCAGCCCGTACAGGGCTACTCTGGCTCTGATCCCAGACCACGTATCACTGGGCAGCAGGCAGGCGCACCTGGGTTTACCTTTGCTCCTCGACTTGTCCTGATCAGAGAGGTGCTCTGTGCGTGTGCGTGTCACCAGCTCCACGTTGGTGGCACTGTATACCTAGGGAGCAGGAGGGACACAGAGAGCTGGGTGTTAAGAGCCTGTTCCCCACACTCAACCTCACAAGCACAGGACCCAAGTCCTTCTGTCCCCAGAGACAGGTGAGATCACTCCCCACAGTGGAGGAAATGGCATGGTCTGAACCCCTAGAGTCACCTAATGAGCAGATGCAGCCCAGGGGCCAAGAAATAAATGCTTCTCTTTGATGGGGTGTGGGGCGGTCAGCAGGCTGGGCCCTCAGGCCCCAGTGAGTTCCCTTGGGTACCCAGGGTGACTCCACCTCTCCCTCCACGCTGGGAGTAGGTATGGAAAAGGAGCTGAACTTCGAGGCCCCATCTGCTACCCCAGCCCCCACCACTGCCTCTCCTGCCTTGGCCTCGTAGCCGCTGACAGCCTCCATCTTCTCCGACCGCCATCCCCAGATACCGCATTTGTTCCTGCAACAGACCAAACAGGAGCTGTGCGGATGTGCGCTGTGCACACCCGGCCATAGCCCCCTGTATGAGCCAGCCCTGGCTGCCCACCTCTCAGGGTCCCTTCCCATGGGGGAACTCAGAGAGGCCTTGGGGATGGGGCCATCTGAACAAGGACTGGGGCCTGGACAATCCTGAGGAGCCGTCGCTAACTTTATTAAATGTGATAATGGTGTCTGGGCCGAATTAAAAAACACCTTTCTCTCTCAGAGTCATGCGTAGAAACATTTACTGTTCACAGGATGTGACATGTGGGATGTGCTTCAAAATACTGTGGGGGGAAAACAGAAAAAAGGGAAGAGGATAGATTCAATAACACTAGTAAAATGCTGATAAATGTTGAAGCTGAGTGATGATGTGTAAGGATAGTATTAGTTCTTCTTTCATGTATGTTTGAATTTTTGAATTTTAATTTTTTGTAGTGCTTAGGATGGAATCCAGGGCCTTGTGTGTGCTGGGCAATTGACCCTAGCATTGATTAACATCCCTAGCCCATTTGAAATTTTCTACAATAAAAAGTTAAAAGTATGCCTGATTCAAAATAATAGCTGAAGACTTCAATACCCCATTTTTACTACTGAATAGAACAAGCAGACAAAAAAAAAAAAATCAAAGAAACAGAAGAAATGAACAACAGCAAAAACTAGACTTTACAGATATTTATTTTGAGAACACACCACCCAGCAACAAAAGAATATAATTCTTCTCAAGTGCACATGGGACATTTTTGGGGATAGACCATATGCTAGGTCATAAAAGAAACCTCAGTAAAATTCAAAGGACAGAAGGCTCACAAAGTATGTTTTCCAACCACAATGGAATGAAATTAGAAAAAAAAAAAATCTTAGGAACTCACAAATGTGAGGAAAGTAAACAACATACTCCTAAATAACCAGTGGTTCAAAGAATAAATCAAAAAGGGGCTGGGGATTTGGCTCAGTGGAATGGCACCTGCCTCGCGAAAGCACAAGGTCCTGCAGGTCCTGAGTTTGACCCCCAGTACCAAAAAACAAACAAGTAAACAAAGGAATAAATCAAAAAGGAAATCAGAAAATACTTTGATGAGGGCCAGGGATTTAGCTCAGTGGCACTGTGCCTGCCTCGCAAGCACAAGGTTGTAAGTTCAATCCCTGGTTAAAAAAAAAAGAAACCCAAAAAACTTTGATGAATAGAAATGAAAGTACAACATATCAAAATATGGCACAGCTAAGGCCATGCTGAGAGGGAAATCTATAGTTGTAAATGCTGATATTGAGAAAGAAGAGTTGGGCATCATGGTGCACACCTGTATAGTCCCAGCTACTTAGGAGGCGAAAGTGGGAGTCTGAAACCAGCCTGGGCAACACAGTGAGACCTGATATCAAAAGAAGAAAGAAAGTGGGGGGAAGGGAGAGAAAGAAAAAGAAGAGAGAGGGAAGGAAGCAAGGAAATAAGACAGAGAGAAGGGAGGTGTGGTGGCGCTCAGGAGGCTGAGGCAGGAGAACTATGGTGAGTTGAGGCAGCCTCGATTACATAGCAAAGACCTTGTCTCAAAAAACCAGATAGGCCAAGGATGTAGCTCAGTGGCACCGCACCTGCCTGGCATGTGGAGAGTCCTGAGTTCAATTCCCAGTATCAGAAAAATAAACAAGCCGGGCATCGTGGTCGCCTGTAATCCCAGCACTAGGAAGGTTGAGATGGGAGGATCGTGGTGAGTTCGAGACCAGCTTTGGCTACATAGTGAGTTCCAGGTCATTCTCAGCTACATAGTGAGACCCTGTCTCAAAAAATAAATAAATAAATAAAAGAAAAACAAACAAGCCAGGCATGGTGGCTTGCCACCACATGCCTGTGATCCCAGCACTCTGGGAGACTAAAACAGGAGGATCTTAAAGTTCAAGCCCAGCTTGGGCAACTTAAGACTTAATGAGACTCTGTCTCAAAATAAAAAAGGGCTGGTGATATATATAGCTCAGTGTGAAGGCCCTGCATTCAATCCCTAGTACCCAGTATCACAGAAAATTCTCAAACCAATAACCTAACCTTCCACATTAAGACACTGGAAACAGCTGGGCGTGGTGGTGCATGCCTATAATCCCAGCACTCGGGAGGCTGAGGCAGGAGGATCGGTGTGAGGTCGAGACCACCCTGGGCTACATAGTGAGTTCCAGTTCAGTCTCAACTATATAGTGAGACCCTGTCTCAAAAAAACAAAAACAAAAACAAACAAACAAAAACCCCACTAAACATAGATGAAGAGCTAGCTGGGCATGATGGTATATGCCTGTAATTCCAGCTCTTGGAAGGCTGAGGTAGGAGGATCTCAAATTTGAGGCCACCCTGGGCTACACAGCAAGTTCAAGGCCAGCCTAGGCTACATAGTAAGACCCTGTTTAAAAATAATAATAATAATAATAATAAAGAGGCAACATTTTCCAACTCTTTCTATGAGGCATGACCTATATCAAAACCAGATAGGGCCAGGGATTTAGCTCAGTGGTTCTGCTGCCTGCCTCACAATTGCAGAGTCTAGAGTTCAATCCCTGGTACCAAAAAGAAACAAAGAACAGATAAAGACATTACAAGAAAACTACAGGGGGTGTAGCTCAGTGGTAGAGTATTCGCATAGCATGCACAGGTCCTGGGTTTGATCTCCAGCACTGAAGAAAGACATAAGCAAAGAAGGAAGAAAGAGCAGGAGGGAGGGAGATGAGGGAGAGGAGGAGGAAGGAAGGATGAGGGAGGAAGGAAGGAAGGGACAAATTGATTCATAATAGCATCAGAAAAGACAGAAAAAAAAATAAACTCAGGCATGGTGGCTCATGCTTATAAGTCCGCTACTCTGGAAGGCTGAAGCAGGAAGATTGTAAATCCAAACCCATTTAGAGACTTAGTGAGTGGTAGCCTGTCTCAAAATAAAAAGGGGATGCAGCTCAGCACAAAGGTCCTGGGTTCAATCCCCAGTGCCACTAAAAAAAAAAGGACTGGCCAAGGATTTAGCTCAGTGGTTTGGCCGCCTGCCTGGAAAGTGCAAGGACTTGAGTTAGATAAAAGAAAAAGGACTGGCCAGGTGTGATGGCACACACCTATAATCCCAGCACTCAGAAGGCTGAGGGAGAAGGATTGCTAGAGTTTGAGGCCAGCTTGAACTACATATTGAGATCCTATCTCAAAAACAAAACAAAACAAAGGACTAAATTTAACAAAAGGACAGAAAACAAATTCTGCAAACCACAAAACTTTGCTAAAAGAAATTAAAGAATATCAAAATAAATAGAAAAGCATCCCATATTCATGGATTGGAAGACTTAACATCATTAACGTGGTAACATTCCCCCACCTGATTTACACATGCAATGCAATTTCTACCAGAATCTCATCTGACTTCTTCATAGAAACTGAGAAGCTGAAACTAGAATCCACATAAAGTGCTAGGGTTCCAGAATATCCAAAATAATCCTGAAGGGCAAAAGTAGGAAGACTCATGCTTTCAAATGTCAAAATTTACTACAGAATAACAGTGATTAATAGCCAGACATGGTGGTGCACACCCGTTATCCCAGTAGTCAGGAGGCTGAGGCAGGAGGATCACTGCAAGTTTGAGGCTAGCCTGGGCTACATAGTTGAGTACAAGGCATAATGAGACCCTGTCTCAAAAATAAAAATAAATAAATAAATGAATAAAAGAAAAAAAAAATAATTAACTCAAAATGGCTCAAAGACTTAAATGTGAGAGCTAAAACTTTTAGAAGAAAATGGGAAGAAATCTCCATGACCCTAGATTTGGCAAAATATTATTAGAAATAATGAGCAAAAACCGGGTGTGGGGGCACATGTCTGTAATCGCAGCACTTGGGAGGCTGAGGCAGGAGGATCGCTGAGAGTTTGAGACCAGCCTGGGCTACATAGTGAGTTCCAGGTCAGTCTCAACTACATAGTGAGACCCTGTCTCAAAAAAAAAAAAAAAAAAAAAAAAAAAGGAAAGAAATAATGAGCAACAAGCTGTGCATGTAATCCTTGTACTCTGGGAGGCTGAGTCAGGAATGAAAGTTCAAGACCAACCTGGGCAACTCAGCAAGACCCTGTCTTAAAATTAAAAAGAAGAAAGGGCAGGGGATATAGCTCAATGTGACGATTCCCAGGTTCAATCTCCAGTACCACAAAACTAAATAAATAAAACCAACTAAATAAAAATCAACTGTCCATTACCATTAAAATTAAAAACTTCTGGGGCCAGGGATTTAGCTCAGTGTTGCTGTGCCTGCCTCATACGTGCAAGGTCCTGAGTTTGATCCCCAGTAATGCTAAATAAATAAATACTTAATTAAAAATAAAAACTTCTGTACTTCAAAAAACACCATCAGGAAAGTGGAGACAGACCACAGAAAATATTTGCAAATCATATATCCGATAAGGGACTTAACACCTGGAATACACAGATAACTTTTTTTTCTTTCTCACTGAGCTATATCCTTAGACTTTTTAATTTTTTATTTTGAGACAGGGTGTCACTAAGTTGCCCAGGATGGGCTCAAACTTGTGATTCTCTTGCCTCAGCCTTGCAGAGTGAGGTCTGAACACCACGCCTTGCTATATAGAGAACTCTTACAATTAAAAAAGAAAAGGCTAAGCTAATTAAGAAACGGGTAAAAGTTATAAACAGACATTTCTCTAAAGAAGGTACACAAATCACCAATAAACACATGAAAAGACACTCAATGTTGTAAGCCATTAGGGAAAATGCAAATGAAATCCACAGTGAGATGCTTCCCATCCTCTGGGACGGCAATAATCCAAAAATGGATGAATGAACAATAAGGAGCTGGCCATGGTGGTGAACACCTTCACTCCCAGCGTTAGGAGGCCGAGGCAGCAGGAACACCACAAGTTCAAGGTCAGCCTGTGCTACAGAGGGAGTCCAAGGCAACCTGAACTACATACCAAGACCCTGTCTTAAAAACCAAAACAATTAGCTGGGGATTTAGCTCAGTGGTGACAGGCCTGCTTCACTAGTGCAAGGTCCTGAGTTCAATCCTCCGTACCAAAACAAAACAAAAAAAGAATGAACAATGACAAATGGTGAGAAGGCGGAGGAACTGGAACCCTTGTACACTGCTGCTAAGAATGTAAAATGGCACGCCTCCTCTGCTAAACAAACAGTCCAGTAGTTCCTCAGACAATTAAATATTGAGTTACCATATAATAGTGACTCTACCTCAATGTATAGGCCCAGAAGAAATGAAAACAAATGTGCACACAAAACTTGTATGCAAATGTTTATAGCAGCCTTATTCATAGTGGCCAAATACTAGAAACAACCTAGATGACTGTTAGTGGACTAATGAATAAACAAATGTGCTATGTTCATACAGTAAATTTGGCTATAAAAAAGGAATGAAGTAATTATATGCTACAAAATGGATGAAAGTTGAAAACATTATACTAAATGAAAAGAACCAAGACACAAAAGGCTACGTACTTTAAAATTTCCTTCATATGATCAAGTCCAAAATATGCTGGGCATGATGGCTCACGCCTGTAATCCCAGCCCTCGGGAGACTGAGGCAGGAGGATCACTGTGAGTTCGAGACCAGCCTGGACTACATAGTGAGTTCCAGGTCAGTCTCAACTACATCGTGAGACCCTGTCTCAAAAAAATAGAAAAGCAACAAGAAGAAGAAAAAGAAAGTCCAAAATAGAGAGTAGATCAGTAGATGCTTTGGGCCAGGGGAGAGGATGGGGACAAGTGATAATTTAAGTTTCTTTTTAAAAGCTGGGCCTCACTGGGCTTGGTGGTACATGCCTGTAATTCTAGCACTTGGGAGGCTGAAGCAGGAGGATCGCCATGAGTTTGAGACCAACCTGGGCTACATAGTGAATTTAAGGCTGGCCTGAGCTACATAGGGAGATCTTGTCTCAAAAAACAAAACAAAATAAACAAATAAACAAAACATTGAATTGTGTACACTTTAAATGGGTAAACTGTATGGTATATGAAATTTATCTCAATAATGCTACATTTTTTTTCCAGTTCTGGGAATTAAACTCAGGGCCTGGTGCTTGCCAGGCAGGCAGTGCACCACTGAATAAAGACACTTTTAAAAAACTGTTTCCAGGGCCAGGGATTTAGCTCAGTGGTACTGCACCTGCCTTGCAAGTACAAGGTCTCTGGTACCAAAAAAATACACACACACACACACACACACACACACACACACACACACACACAAAGCAAAAGCAAAAACAAAAAAACTCTGTTTCCAAAGCCTTCCACTGAAACCAGGAGCATATATTATCAGAGAAATAATACTTTTTGTTCCTTAGTTACCTATAAAGATAGCTTAGTTGCCTCAAAGATAGCTGTTGTTAATGAGAAGCCAGAACTGCCTTGAATCACAGCCTATGTGCTCGCTTTTATGGAAAATGTGTGAGGTCAGAAGTCAAGAAATGGGACAGCCAGGCACAGTGGTGGTGGTACATGCCTATGATCTGAGCTACCCAGAAGTCTGAGGCAGGAAGATTGCAAGTTAGGGGCCAGCCTAGGTAACTTAGCAGCACCCTGTCTCAATAGAAAGGGTGGGGGAGGTCTGGGGCCATAGCTCAGTGATAGGAGACTTGCCTAGCATGTGTGCAGCCCTGGGTTCCATTCCCAGCATTGGAAAAAAAAAGGAAAAAGAGAAATTCAGGACATCCTGACCTCGTCCCCACCCTGGGAAGGCAGTGGCCTGCATCCATGAGTGTGCAGGGGCTCACCACAGGGGCCCAGCATGGTAGGACATTGGGCTGCCAGGGATTCGCCCTCCCCCACAGTCTGAGCCGCCTCTGGCGGAGGACTCAGCTTCCCAGAAGCTCTGGACGGGAACCTCAAGGACAGCTCTACCCTTATCAATGGTGGCTCTTGCTACCTTTCTCATTGCACCCATGCTGCACTAGATCCCTGCTAACCTCTCAAAAGCCACATTTCGAGTGTCCAGGTGGGTGGAGACGATAGGGGAGGTGAGGCGGCTTGCCACATGTTCCTCGCTGGGCCGCATGGCGGCCAGTAGTGCTTCGGGCTCATGTAGAGCAAGCCCTAGCGTCTCCGTGTGCACCACCTGCCGGTCATGGTCCACTTCCATCACCAGGGCTCCTGCCTCTGCGTGGCAGGGGTGTAAGGGGGAGGGCATGTCAGTGCTGGGCTCCCCTCTGCCAGTTGGGGCTCAGTAGTCCAGCCGCAGCCCCTGCATTGCCCTCTACCCGCCACATTGTCAGTTTTCACCTCCAGAAGGTACCAAGAAAGGAAAGCCACTGAGAATCAAGGTGCCAGCATGCTCCCTGGCATGTGTCCCAGAGCTCACCCTGGCCCTTGAAGATGAAGCTTCTGCGGCCTCGCTGCCAGGTCATGTGCTCAAAGCCTAGGAGACTGGTGTCCACTCGTAAGCTCTCGCCCCGCTTCCACACACGGTACACATCGCTTGGGCACATCTTGGACACGAGGGGCACTGGGGGAGCACTGAGGTCACCGGGGGTCTTCCCAAAGGCCCCACTCATGTCCCTGGGAGCCAAGAGATCCACTCACCCCAGCTGGTGAACTCCCATTTCATCTCCACGTAGAAGTCTGGGGCCTGAGGGAGACCAGAACTACCCTTAAGGGTCTGGCCTGGTGCTGGGGCCCCGTGGACCTGAGAGGTCCTTGCTGCACTGCCAAGGCACCAGCTTTGGTCCCAAAACAACCAAACCCCACCCAGGGAGCCCTGAAATAGTCTACATGGTAAGAAAGCTATTAGTATCTGAAGATGGCCATAACATACTAGGTCTCTGAGGCCTCATCTGTAAAGGGAACACAATGGGCCCTCCAGGGCTGTCCCTGGGAGGGCCATGAGGTAGTGTGCTCTGCCCGCAGGGTCCCTCTATATGCCTGAAAAAAAAAAATGGACAAAGCATAGAACCGCACATTCTAGGGGCCCAGCTGTCTCCTCTACCTCCCTCCAGGAAACCTGCATTCTCTAGGGGGCCCAAAGCCTAAAGCTCTGCAGAGATTTCTGGCACTTGGGACCCCTCCCTGCTGGTGAAGGCTCTTCTTCCAAAGGGCTGTCTCACCATATGACCCGGGGCTGCAATTAAGACACTGGGGGGCAAACTGCTGCATGGGCTGGCTGCCCTTCCAAGACCGAGACCTGTATGGGGGACCAGGGCAGTCCCTGCCATGGTACCCGCCCCCCTTTACTGGCCACATCCTGTGCCTGGCTGTACCTGGCGGAGTTTGTTGAGTAGTTCTGGAATGCCAGCCAGCCTCTGTATGGCCCTCTGGAAGTCCCGGTACTGGAGCACCAGCTGCACCATCTCAGGGTCTCCAGTGCTGACTGCCTCCTGCAGGACTGGGGGCACCAGCTGCTGAGGGAAGCCTTCCCAATGTCCTGGGCCCTGGCAACTCACTCCTACCCACCAACACTTCTCCCCATCTAAGAGCAGCCCCTCTGCCCTCTGTGTACCTGCCCAGCCCTGGCGGCTCTCTTTGCCCACGTTGGCATTGTGCCGAAGAAGGACTCTCACAGACTCCAGGTTTCCTAGGGACACGGCCAGCTCCAGGGGAGTCCGTCCTCGGGGGTCCTCCTGTTCAATGTCGTGCTGAGGGAGATGGACACTCAGCACAAGGGAAGAGAGCAGAGGCCAAGGCAGAGTCTAGAGATGGGATGGGCTGGAGTCACGATGGGAAATAAGGACAGCAGTCAGGCCAGGGAGATGGCAGAGATGGCCCATATGTCCAGGGCGGTAAAGGGGAAGATGGGAAGGATTTGCCCACTTCTCCTGCCCCCTGCCACGGGCAGAGCTGGCCTCCTGGTGGCGGGGACGGTCAGACAGAGATGCAAGTGAAGGATGTCATGAATTCTAGCCATGAGTTTTGTTTGGGCCTGTACTCAGCCTGGCTCGGGGTGGCACGGGTGAATTCGAGGGCTTGATGCAGTGTGAGGTGAGCAGAAAGCAGGGTAAGGCCCAGCGGTGGGAGATGTGGCCAAAGGATCAAGAGGGAGGGCAGGTGATCGGGACTTCGGATCGGGCTGGGAGCTGGGATGCAGCTGCGGATGGAGATCGTGGCCCCGGGCGGGGTCCTGGCGAATGGGGCCTCACCTGGCGACTGTGCAGCGCGGCCTCCAGTTCACGGTGCCGGTTGGCCCAGACTAGCCGGTGCAGCGGGAACGTGGGGCCCTGGCCGGCCATGCTGGGCCTCAGCGCTGCATC